TGCCTGAATCCAGAGATAAGTCCCGAATGATGCTTAGGATCAGCATGGATAAACGGTATTTTAGGAAGTAAACAGGCCAGGAGCCAGAATAACAAGAGAGTGGGAATGAAAATAAGGGTGTGTGGGTAAGAAAAAACCTGGAGGCTGGGGTGCCTGGGTGGCTCAGTGGTTTAAGCCTCTGCCTTTGGCTTCGGTCATGAGCTCAGGGTCCTGGGATCGAGCCCCGCATCGGGCTCTCTGCTCAGCGGGGAGCCTGACTGCCCCCCTCTCTCTCTGCCTGCCTCTCTGCCTACTTGTGATCTCTCCCTGTCAAATTAATAAATAAAATCTTAAAAAAACAAAACAAAACCTGGATGCTGTCGTCAGGGCAAAGGGTGTTTCTTAAGAGTAAACCAGGGGCGCCTGGGTGGTTCAGTCTTTTGCATCTGCCTTTGGCTCAGGTCATGATCCCAGGGTCTTGGGACGGAGCCCCACATAGGGCTCCTTGCTCTTGGGGAAGCCTGCTTCTCCCTCTCCCACCACCCCCCACCCCGCTTATGTTCCTTCTCTTGCTGTGTGTCTCTTTCTGTCAAATAAATAAATAAAATCTTAAAAAAGAAAAAAGAGTGAATCAACTAACTTACATTTTGCTCACACCTTTCAAGAAGGTAATTTAGAAAAATCTTAAGAATCCAAACATTCTTCTATTGGCTACAAGAAAAGAATCAGGAAATGTTCCTCGGACTTTTATTAGCTATTACTTGATTAGAATAAAATTATTATTAAAAATATATCAGAACATTTTTATCTGGGCTTGATGGATATTTTTTATGTCAGCTAAGAAAGCTACAGTTTAGTAACTAAGCTCAATCCTTTGTTTCTAAAGATTTTCCACAAACTATAATTAAACTAAGGAACATCTGAATAGTAACGGGTTTCCATATGGAGTATACTAAAAATTGTTCCAAAATCTATCACCTTGGTGGGTTTTATTTATAGAGCTACCAAATGAATTTAGGTAATACTCTCCCCAAATGTTGACTATGCCTTCTTGTTTTACTCTGAAGCACAGAATAGGGACACAAGGGGTCCAGTGATCTGACTGCTAGAGAAAATGTTACGATTCTGCAAGTACAAGGATCTTAATTGGTAAAGCTCACTTTTTTCTTTCTTGTTTATCCTCATCACCTGCTTCCCCTGTCCCCCCACTCCCTCCCTCTGGGAACGATCAGTTTGTTCTCTATAATTAAGAGTCTGTTTGTTGGTTTGTCTCTCTTTTTTCCCCTTGTTTGTTTTGTTTCTTAATTTCCACATACGAGTGAGATCATATGCTTTCTTTCTCAGACTTATTTTGCTTAGCATAATGCACTCTAGCTCTATCCATGTTGTTGCAATGGCAAGATTTCATTCTTTCTTATGGCTGAGTAATATTCCATTTTATATATATATATATATATACACACACACACACACACACACATATATATATATATACACACACACACACACACACACACATACATACCACATCTTTATCCATTCACCAATTGGTGGACACATGGGCAGCTTCCATAATTTGACTATTATACATAATGCTGCTATAAACATAGGTGTGCATGTATCCCTTTGAATTTGTGTTTTTGTATTTTTGGGTAGATACCCTAGTAGTGCAATTACTCGATCATAGGGTGGTTTCATTTTTAATTTTTTGAGGAACCTCCATACTGTTTTCCACAGTGGCTGCACCAGTTTGCATTCCCACCAACAGTGCAAGAGGGTTCCTTTTCTCTACATCCTTGCCAACACCGGTTGTTTGGTAAAGGTCCCTTCTAAGCAAAAGAGTGGGTCTGGCATGCTTTACCTCCAATCTGACACCACAAAATACAAACTATCATATAGAAATGTCAAATGTTTCTTTCCATCACCTACAACTTTGGACTAGAGAGGAGCCATGACTGTGAACGCTATGTCCTCCTTATAATCGCACTTACTCCCTCTTCTCAGCGCCAGACAAAAAGGAACCAGGCTTATGATATCATGAGAGAGAGGAATGAGCCAGGAAGAGTGGAGCCCCTGGTGAGGTGAGATATGTTACTGAACCCCATGTTCAGAGTCCCCATTTTGCTTTCACCACTAAGGTGTCAGGACTCCTTCCTGGAGCTATACCCTCATTGACCATCTGGTCCCCAGAGCTCTGGACACCGGGGCCTGCCAATGCAGCCCCTCCCAACCTCCTCCTGCAGCACCCAGTAAACAGTGTTTCCTGTGTCCACTCCCAGACGTCAAGCTGAGTCACCCATCTGCATAGTCGCTGGGACAAAGGCTCTCACAATCCGTTGGAAGGCTCTGCTTTCCCAGGGGAGGGAGGGCAAGTGGGGTTTACCTGGCCAGGGCTGAGCTTCTGTTAGTGCATGAGTATAAGCAGGTTGAATGTAGATGGCAAATCCCCAATGACGAGCCCAGTGCAGACATACAGCAAGGGCTCAGTATAAGGTGGATGTTCTCATATTGCTATTATGGATACACACCTAAAGAGACCCTCTAGATGTGTAAGAGGCATCTGCCTGATCAGACTCTGCTTCTTGAAGGTTAATCCATCAGCTGCACCAAGGGACAAGCAGAAGGCACAGCAGCTGCCATCTTTCCTCTTTTAGAGACAGAACACCAGTAAGAAAATCAAAGCCCCACTAATAAAGTCAATGGCAGATGTTTCAAACATCCTGCAGGCTCACTGTTTATACCTCCTCCCTCATCCAATGTCGACATAAGCGACTGGCGAAGGTGGTGCCATGATTACAAGGCTGGAGGGATGGAAGCAGCACGAGGGTGAGTGGGAATGCAGCACTGTATGCAGCAGTTTAAGCTAGAGCAGCTCTAAAATAGTATAGACTCTTCGGAGTGAGTGTGCAGAAATGGACAGCTGAGGGACCCCGGCCAAACACAGGTTGGTACTCAGGCTTGGGAACGTCAACCCCGGTGCAGGGTGCTGTCATCCTTAGCAGCTCTTGGTCCCTCCCCACCAGCTGCTCTGTCTGTCAGGACAGCAGGGGCTACGGAGCAACAACTGCTTGGAACCATGTAGACTATTCTGGGCACGGGATGTGAGTAAGTGTATGCCATCGTAAGTCAGACCAGGATGTGAGTCAGACTGCTATAAAGAGTTAAAAAGGACTGGTCTTCAAAGCCTCCCGGAAGCAGTCTGCCATGCTACACAGTTATAAAGGAGCTACAGTCTGAAAGACACTTGTAATCATGGAGCCAAGGAGAGGCCCTGAAGAATATGGACGATTAACATCTGCTTTCAGCTCAGGTCATCCCAGAATCCTGGGATCGAGTCCTACATCAGGCTCCCTGCTCAGCAGAGAGCCTGCTTCTCCCTCTGCCTCTGCTGCTCCCTCTGCTTGTGCTCTCTCTATCTCACTCTCTGTCAAATAAATAAATAAAATCTTAAAAAAAAAAAATACGGACGATTAGAATCAGCCAAGTGATAGCAGCAGTCAGAGACGGACAGCTCAGAAAAGCTGTGGGACATGCGGTGGCTTTACTTTCCTCTTAAAACAAAACATTTTATCTGCAGAGCAACTTTTATGGGGCCAAATGAGTGTTCCGAAACTGGCTCTGAAAAAAAAAAAATCTATTGGCACTGAGGCATACAGATACAAAAATGACCTCTGTTCGTAGCACTCTTTATAACAGCAGAAAATTTTTAACCATCCAAATACCCACAAATTAGTTAAATAAACTGTGTTATGTCCCTTTGATGGAAACTAAGCAGCTGTTAAGAGGAATAAAGTAATTTAACTATACTAGCATGGAACAATGTCTGTGATAGACCATTACAGCAAAAAAAAATCAAGTTGTAGAAAATTCGCCAAGAGATGGCATTTGGGTTAAAAATGGTATGTTCATACATGTGCAGGAAAAAGTCTCTAAGGAGCTGGAGCACACCATTGTTAACTGTGACAGAGAGATTTCGTCCGTCCCTATTCATTGCTTGAATCCTTTATAACAAACATGACTTTTACAACAGAAAATAAAATTAACAGGTATTTATGAGAGAAGAGGAGTAATATGCTGGTTTTTTCTACAAGGAATATTCTTGAAAGCCTCAGGGCGGCCTAATGGCCCACAGAATCCCTGACTGAGGCCTGAAGGCGCAGCAAGGCAGGACCCAGCTCTCTGCGGGTCCATGGAGGGTGCAAAGTCAGTATCCCCTAAATGCCATGAGAAAGGAGGGCTTAGAGGTTTCAGGAGCCTCCACAGATCACCTCTGAGCGCCGACCAGTCTTCTCCTTCCCCACCTTGTGGCCTCCCTTAGGTAATTCCCACTCACCCTATAGGTCTTGGCTCAGGTGTCGCCTCTCCTGGGGAGTCTTTCCGAACACCGCAAGGCCGGGCCAGTTCCCCTTCCTCCCAGACATACACTCCATCTCAGTTCTCACTTTCTATTTCCCTGCGATAATTGGCTCCATGTCTGTCTTCCCCATGGGAACAGGAGCTCCTGAAGGCAGAACCTCGGCCTGTTTTTGCCACATCCCAGCAGACAGAGCAGCGTCTGGCCCATGACAAAGGCTGACACAAAGGGAAGGTGCTGCGGGGGCCACGGGGGTGGGAGGGAGGGCTTCTCTCCTTTGCAGTGACTACTCCTCTCCTTTATTTGTTGTCCTATGTGTCCAAGGGAATGGTTAGTAGCAATATGAAGGTCCCCTCCCAAACTCAGAAGAATTATGTCAGGTGGGAACTAGCGGCAGATGGCAGCATTTAAAGGAACTAAGAGATTACAGCTAACACTTCAGAAAGTTTCTCAGCCAAAAGGCAGGACCTTCGATGCTCTCTATGCCTACCTCCTGTTATTTCTTGGGGCCCCCCGGCTCTGGACCCCTGGTCTGTCAAGGGCAGCTAGAGGCATCCTGGTGTGGGGGTGGGGTTGGATAGAATCCCCTCTTGACAGACATCGCTGCTGGAGTGACGGTGAGCCTCAGCAGTGCCGGGGTTGGGGCAGGGGGAGAGGGGACACTGACCTCGGCTGATGCGCTGCTTCTCCCCAGACAGGATGCCAGGGCTGTCGATGATGCTGATGCTCTTCAGGACCTGATTGGGCAGCTGGGAGCACATGAATCTGGAAAAAAGGATCAAAGGTGGGATCAGGAACCATACCTCTCCAACCTCCGACAAGATCCTTGACCTCTTAAGGTTATTGCCGTTATCTGCAAAGGGACTCTCTGCACAGACAGCACATCCACTGGTGCCACGGGGCCAGGTGCTGGACCAGGGGGCGGGTATGCTGTCACCTGCCACCAGATCCTTAACCGCTAACTTTGATTTTAGCTGATATTTACTGAATGCTTCAGTATTTTACAAACACCATCTCATTTGTCCCTCAGAGTAACCCCTTGAGAAAGAAATTCCTATTAACATCAGAGAAGTAACTTACACAGCATCACTCAGAGCTTAAACCCAGGTCAGCCAGATCCAAAGTCCATCAGCCTCGCCTGCTTCTTTTCTGTGGTGCTCCTTGGCCAAGTGTCCTGGGCTGCTTCTCCCAGGGCAGACCATGCACCATGCCTCCGTCCAGCCGTGCTGGAGTACCCTAAGCTCCCTGTCCAGCCACACTGCCCACTCCCTGCTGTGGCTGTGGAGGTACTGGGGCTTATTTTCACTGTTGCCCTGGGGACTCAGCATCCAGTCTGGTGCCCATCTGGCTTCAAGCCCTGCATGGGGCAAGCACCCGTGGGCCACACCCTAAATCCTCCAGGTGCCTCGGAGTCCAAGGGGTAGCCAAAGAGTGGGTAAAGTGGCAGGGGCATGGGAGAGTTCTGGTGGTGCATCTCAAGCCTCCTTCCTTGGCCCTCACATTCCTGATACCATTTCTTCCTTCTCATCCCGATCCTCCTGCGGGCAGCTGCCCTGGCCTCACCCTCCCCGAAGCAGAGTGGCATGGGAGGAAAATTTGGCTGTTAGGTCAGCAGACTGGGTTCAGGTTTAGCTCAGCCTTCACCAATTATTTTCTGTGGGACCCAGGACAAGGGCCTCCCAGCTCCAGGCCTGTGTCCTTATGTGTAAATGGAAATACTTGGATGGGGACCGGTGAGGTCCTTTTTAGCTTTAATAGTGAATAACTAGAGTAGCAGAGGGAAACATTTTGTTCCTTTTATCCAGGCAGCAAAGTCCAAGGTGGATCTCTGGTAGTCGCTGTGTTTTTTTTTTTTTTTTCTTTCTTTCTTTTTTAAAGATTTTATTTATTTGATAGAGAGAGAGAGAGAGAGAGAGCACACACACATACAAACGGGGGGAATAGCAGAGGGACAGGGAGAAGCAGGCTGTCCGCTGAGTTGGGGGCCCAATGCAGGACTTAATCCCAGGACTCTGAGATCACAACCTGAGCCGAAGGCAGACGCTTAACCAACTGAGCCACCCAGGCACCCCGCTGTGTCTGTTTTAAGGCAAAACCTATAGAGTGGCTCTCCTCCTTCTGTTTTGTAATTGGATAACTTCTGTATCTGTGTGGGCCGAAGGCTGGAAAACCCTCAGTGAAAGCTCAATTATTCCATTCAGGGGAACTGGTGGGATCACTCAGAAAGTAAATATGCTGGGAATGCAGGCCGGGGGGCCACGCCAGCCTTCACAGTGCACACGTGGATGGCATAGCCCCCCGGCCAGGGTGAGGTCACGGCCTCACAGGCAGGGGGTGGGCAGTCCGGAGCAAGAGGTACAATTACTGACATTTCAAAGTTGCTTTCTTTGAAGGTGCTCAGGACAAGTTTCCCACACATTCTTTCCTATATTTTCAGGTCAGCCCGGACAGATGTAGGAAAAGATACTAGGGTCATTTTGTAGCTGGAAAAGCTGAAGCTCAAAGTCGTTATGACATCTTGAGGTTACACCGTGAAGGCCTGGCTGGCTGGAGAGGGTGACCTAATATTTCTGATGTCTGCTGAGCTAGACTCAACCCATAAATGTTAAAAATAAAGGGTGAGGCTAATTGAAGAGAACCCCTCATTTCTGATTTTCTCCCGCCCCTCATGCACCCTCCAGACTTTTCAGTAAATCCCAATGTCCAAACTTGGGAGACCAGATCTGTGAGAACGAAGTGCACAGAGATCACTAAGCATTTACTCTTTGTAAATTCACAGAGAAAAAACCACCACATTTGAGGCTTGGAACTGAGGTAGGAACAGAGTTCTGAGCACATCTGTGGTAGAGTGCATGTCTCATTAGTAATGATTCTGTCTCTTATCACAGTCCCATCTTTTTTATTAGATGGCTTGAGACATTTGATAATGCTGAAAAACTGCACATATGTGGAACTATTTTACACAAAGTATTCCTGTGAGAGACTGACCTTTCTCCAAAACCACAAGCTCACACTCACTAGCAACTTTTCCAAAACACAAAACCCCTGGATTCTAGTGTGGAGTTAAACAGAGGGATCCCAAATGTGTAAACTGTCCACTCTCTCTCTGCAAAGTGACAAACTTTCAACAACTCGCATGCCTCCTGACACAACAGCAGAGGCGAAATCAGGCAAAATCTGTGAGCCACAAAACAAGATGCGGTCAGATGTGGTGAATGTGGAGACGTTACCTCACAACAAACAAGGGGGCAGGTTGAGAGACCCACAGGGATAACTGCAGAAAAGGGGAGGAGGGGGAAGAGGAGGGGGTAGTGGAGTGGGGTAGGGGATGGCGCAGTGGAAAGAGGGAAGAAGATGGCAGAGAGAGGAGGAGGGAGCTCACCAGGGGCACCCTGAGAGATGGTGGCTGGGTTATGTGTGCAAAACCAGGCTACACTCCATGAAAGAAAGCAAGAAAGCTTGGGGCCAGGGTGGGGGCAGAGGGGTGCGGTGGTGGTAGTGGTGGTGTGAGGGTCAGGAAGGGGGAGGGTAGGTAGGGGTGTTGTGGCAAGAGAGCACAAAGCATGAGTCAGCTTTCAAACCCCTGTGTGGGGGCAGGCATCTTACACAAGGAGTTGAACCACACATAGTTTCCTAAATAATTATAATCAGAAAAAAACCCTAATGCAATGCTGTTACAGCAATCCTGTATTACTTTTATGCTCTAAGAAAGGAAGGTGAAAGGCAAGGTTATTTACTGGGTATATTACAGTCAGCCCTGGGTCAGGCTTTTCTTGTTTATGTTTGTGTGCTGAAGTGTTTCCAAGCACAGATTTGCTGTCCCAAGATGGATTTCCTCTTCCTTCCCAGAGTGACTAACCTAAGTGTACCTGGGCCTTGCCTCCTACATTTTCCCATGAAATAGGCAGACCTGTGCCGGTTAAGCCCAGGAGCCTCACGGAAGCTGTTAGGCAGGGTCTGCTCACCCAGAGCTGCCCTGATGCCTCTTGTTCTCTGATAAAAGGAGGGGAGGATGGGCACAGACTCTGCGCTTGACCCCCATCCCCTGCCACTTCCCAAAGGCGGCTGAGGGTTAGCAGAAAGGGGGCTGGATCAAGGAACAGTCTGGGCTCTGAGGTCCTGCCACATAGTAAAACAGGGAGGTGAGAGGAGCGGGGATTTGAAAATTGCCTCCAAATGCTAACATTCCAATTTGATAATCAACATTTTAAAAGAACCAGGCAGTACCTTCATATTGCTTTTGCTTTCCAAACAATGTCATGATATCCAGCAGTTACAGTAACCATAAAATGGCACCAACATTTACCATCCCCCTACTATGTGTCTAAGCGCTGCACTTAATACTTTCTGTATATATTTTAACTCACTCAATCCTCACCACAACCTGAGAGGTAGGGGCGGTGTGTTGCCGTTTACACAGGAGGAGAATGGGGCACTGAGGGGTACATACCACAACTTGTCAAGTCACATGGTTGGTAGGCGATGGAGCTGGGATGCTAAGCTAGGAGTTTGGCCTTGGGCTAGGGTTTTTGACTACTAGACTCCTACCACCATTTTGTGTGTGCAAGCCAACCTTATCACAGAAGGCAACATCCCCCAACAAGGAAGTGATGTGCCAGGGGCACCTGGGTGGCTCAGTGGGTTAAGCCTCTGCCTTCAGCTCAGATCATGATCCCAGGGTCCTGGGATGGAGCCCATATCGGGCTCTCTGCTCCGCGGGGTGCCTGCTTCCCTTCCTCTCTCTCTGCCTGCCTCTCTGCCTGCTTGTGATCTCTCTCTGTCAAATAAATAAAATCTTAAAAAAACAAAACAAGGGAGTGACGTGCCACAGCCTTGGAATCCCGCACCAGAGACTCCCCTGTGATGTGCTCTCAGCCCACCACTGGAGGGCTGAGACGTTGCTCACTCACGCTGTGAGCTCTAGGGATCTGAGCAATTCTACCAGCCCCAGATCTCCCACCTTGTCATCAGGCTCAGAGCATGTCAGATGCTAACAAGGGACACAAGGGACAACCCCTTCAAGCCCACTTGAGAGAGACCAGATAGAGGACATGACTTCCTAAGATGGCACAGTAAAGAGCACACAATACACAAAAAAGACTTTTACAACCAAGCCCCAATCATTATCATACCACAGTCCTGCCACGAATGGGTGATCAAAACTTCCAGTGCCCAGGAGAAATTTAACTTCACATCCAGACTCTAAGAAGCCCACAGCTACCCTCTTTGATTGAATCTTACAGCATCACCGCTTTTACAAGTCAAGGCTGGCTGAATGTTGGCAATTTCATGTGTTATGACCCAAATAGGTAATTTTCTACACCAAAGTCTCTCTTTCCTGACTGCCGCAGTGAGGAATGGCAACGCACCAGCGCTGGGAAGGTCTGCCTGGGGGCAGCGGGTGAAGCTGGTTTTCTGGTCTCTGGGGACCAGGACCACAGAGTCGGCTGCCAGTGACCGGTGAAGAACAATGGTCGGTGATCTGGCAGCCACCACAAATCCTGAGCTTAAAGATTAATGGGAAGAGCTTCAGGGCGTTTATTATGGGTAAACCCCACAAAGCAAACAAATAAACCAACAGAACCAGTCTGTCACTCAGATTAAAAAGAAAGTAACAAATTTGCTGGTGATTCTTGGTAAAAGCCTCTCTTCCTTTGTCTCTGCATCTAAATTAGCTGAGGGAGCCCACATGTGTCTGGACTGATGCTGTATGTTTGTGGGAAGTCAGACAAAAAAAAAAAAAAAATATCCCAGTGGTACTCAGT